GGGGGGTCCCTCAGCCTGGCCTGCACCCTCTCCAATCTGGGACCCCTCGGGGCTGCTGGCACCTAACCGCTCACCTGCCTGCTGGCCTGATCCCCCTAACTGCTCGCCCCTGCCATCCTGATCCTTCTAACTGCTCTCCCCTGCCTGCCTGATCGCCTCTAACCGCCTCTGCCTCAGCCCTGCCACCATGGCTTTGTCCGGAAGGTTGTCTGGAAGATGTTCAGTCTAATTAGCCTATTACCTTTTTATTAGTATAGATGTGTGTGTGTGTGTGTGTATATATATATAATTGATTTCAGAGAGGAAGGGAGAGGAAGAGATAGAAACATCAATGATGAGAGAGAATCATTGATCAGCTGCCTCCTGCACGCCCCACATTGTGCATCGAGCCCACAACCTGGGTATGTGCCCTGACTGGGAATTGTCACCTCCTGGTTAATAGGTCGATGCTCAACCACCAAGCCATAGCAGCCAGGCAGTAGATACTTTTTAAATGGTGAAACTTTATTACAAACGACATCACCTTACTCCAGAACCCTAGAGGTCTGTACTGGGACTCTCCTATTGTGGACTGCCAGAGAATCCACACATCTTTTCGTTCCTCTAGTACTGTGGAATTTTCCAGGTCATATGGTCCTATCATAGCCTGGACTCTTGCATTCCATGTACAGAATATGCTGCCTCCAGAACTCAAAGAGGTCTACTGAGACACTGTGCTTCTTTCCTGGGGTAAAAGACACAAGATGCAGCCCGGCCGGCGTGGCTCAGTGGTTGAGTGCCGGCCTATAAACCAGGAGGTCACGGTCTGATTCCTGATCAGGGCATATGCCTGGGTTGCAGGCTTGACCCCCAGTGGGGGGCATGCAGGAGGCAGCCGATCTAAGGTTCTCTTTCATCATTGATGTTTCCATCTCTCCTTTCCTTTCTGAAATAAAAAAAAAAAAAAATGTATTTTTTTAAAAAGACACATGATGCAGTAACTTATCTTTTACTTTGGAGATGTTTCAGAATGCTGGACTCAAAAACCTAATATGCAGGGCCCTAAACTTTTTGTAGGGTTTATCTCCCACTCAATAGAGTGTGTATCTCACCAAGGAATTCCTTATGACGAGATGCTACAGGAACTTAACTCATGTTTGTATTAATTAGCCTATGGTAAAATTTTTTCATTATATGGTTATTTTATTTAAAGTCACTAAACCTATCAATGTCATTAAATGCAGCCTAGAACCTAGGCAAGGTATTGTGACATTTCACTGAAGTTACTGACCTCTGCATTCTGTCCATCAACTTTTGGTCTCTCTTAATTATATAAAAATCAATATCCTTCCTGGCTGCCCATCTATCTGGTCTGTAGGACCACCCATGTTCCATTACCCAACTCTGCTTGGACCGTGCTGCCCAATGGAACTTCACCTACCCTGCCTCTGAGAATTAAATGTTGCCATTTGGCCTCTGCTATGCCAGAGTCCTATCATCCCCACTGCTTCAAGGGAAACCAAATCTTAAATAACACCCGCCTCCCATCAGCTTCTAACAGAGACAACCACTTCTAAACTTCTCAAAGATGTTGGTGACCACTTTGTTAGTGCCTTTCCTTTATAAAAATTACAGTCAGCTGGTAGGTTTTCCAGTGTAATAGACACTCATTCCTATATGCCCACTTCCTCTAAGCCTTTGGTAATTTCTCATGTGGTCTGTCATCTTGACTTCATTTACTGTGGGCCATCGTTTCTCCCAAGCTCCCCAAGCCATCTCAGCAGCTTATTATAAGTATTTCCTGGGGAACTTGCCGGGATGTTCCAGAGTCACAGGAAAGTATCCCTATTATCACAAATTCTATATGAATTTGATTCTTAATTCTGAAACGATCCAAACCACCATGAACTTCTAACATACAGAAAGGGGCGTACAAAGGGCACCTCCTTTGAAGTTTGGGAGCAGCATAAACACTTTGCATTTAGCTTAAACCCAAGCTCAAGAATCGAACCGTGACCTCCTGGCTCATAGGTCAACCACTGAGCCATGACGGCTAGGCATGGCTATTTTTAAGTAACAGAAAAGGCAGGGTAGGAAAATACTAGCTGTCCTTACAGTGACACATCTTGCTGAAGGAAAAAGTTTACTGGGGGCACCTTCACCTAGGAGAGACCTCTAGAGCTACTAAGAGACTGGGGCGGGCCCAGCGCAATGCTACTCAAAGGTGGTTCGAAGACATACTGGTCTGCGAACTTTTTTTTATACCATTCTGTGACATGATGAGTTAGATTTTGGGTGTTTAGAAACTTTTAGCATTTTGACATTGTTGTGATATTCAAGTGCATGAGCAGTGGACTTATTCTGATAAATGAGGTCTGATCAGTTTTGAGTGTTGTCAAACTTTTGTGGTGGGGAACACTGAGTGTGAATTGCACACTTGTCATGGGCAACAGGAACACATACTGGTGGTATGAAGAACTGGATATTTATAAAACAAAAAACCAGTTTGAGAGGACTGCTCCATCCTTTCCAAAGTCTTACAATAATTCCAGCTGTGTTTTTAGAACGGAGAGTCAATTTGTTCATGATCAATCAAAGTAAAAATGAAAATAAATGGCTTGAGAACAAACTAAAGCAGATGAGGGCATAGGCTTCGATTCCTGGAGTAAGCCCTGGCTGACCCAGCAAAAAGCGAGAATTTATAAAAGAAAATTGGCAGCAGAGTCGGCACACAGTTCAAGGGCCGGACTCTTTGGTCTTCCCTCTCTCCTTTCTATCCTCATCCAGCTTTTGGCTGGAGCTATAAGAAGAGAATTTTGGTCATTTAGGTCCATCAACACAAGTCTATCTACACTTTTCCCTTCTCTTGCAGAGCACAGGAGTCTCAGATTCAACCTGGGCTCTTCCACACTCTGATTCGGAACAGTAGTTAGACTTTCCCCAAAAGCCTGTGACCTCAAGAACATTTCCTTCCTTGGCAATACCATAGAACATGTGAGATCTGATGGGCTGAAAGGCTTACCCCATGGCAAGTGACTGAGACGGTGAACGTGAACCTGCTTTGGTAGTTATTTTCTGAGGGCGGAGCCAGGACAGCCAGCTGGTCTCACCAGATTATCCACCAATACATGGCAGCCAAGGTCCATAGATCCACTAGCTCCCGTAGGAGGGGAAGGTCCGCTCAAAGAAAAATAATTTAGACGACACATTAACAAAAGTAATGTGAAATGTTAAAATCAATACAAATGAAAGGACTTCCGATTGAAATACTCGGAGGAAGTGAGGAAAGGTCATTCCGTCTCCTTTGCCAAATGAGGTACAGATTGAGCTGGGGAAGGGCGGGCAGAACCCAGCCCTGCAATGTTATGTGGAACTCCTCTGCGAACATTACTCACACTCCGTGCAGAAGCTGAGGAAGACCAGAAAAAGACCTGAATGAAAAACACTCCTCACTTAAAATATTTATTAGTCTGGAAAAAGGACCCAGGCTGCATCCCAACTTTTCCCGAACCACTTCCCAAATCAAGCCACAGGACTCAAAGGAGTTGTTTCAAATAAGCCAAAATGTATCTGGGGAAGAACAGTCATTCATTCCCTAGACCTGACATTACAATTACATGTGTTTGCCGGGGGGGGGGGCGGGGGGGGGGTACAGTGAGAATGGTAGGTGGACTAGATGAGGGAGGGGAAACAGGATGGGCCCTTTTTTGTCACAGTTTGGGCTCGGAGAAGGGCTGAGATAAACCGGTATTTTTGAAAGAGGGGAGATAAAAGGAGAGGCAAAGGAAGGTCAAGGGCTGGTTCACCCTGACCACATAGCATTGTAGAAACAGGGTAGCAACTTGAGGTGCTGGAACAGGGATTTGAGGACTCAGCACCTGGAGAGAGGAGAATCCCAAGGCTTCTTTTTCAACCCCACTGTGAATAGAGGCAAAGCCTCCACTTCCTTTCCCTTCGGAGAATTCAGAAAGGTCTGCCTGAAGGCAAGAGGGCATGGTGACAGACCTGTAGCTCCAGCCCAGGCTAAGTTTCTCCCCATTCATTTCCAAAGGCCCTGCTCAAGAGAACTACTGAATAGAATACCAAGATTCTGCCCCTGCTCCCCAGGTCCAAGAAAGGGGAGTGGAGACAAGGCACAAAGACCCTGGGTACAAAGGTGAACATCAATGTGGCCAAATATAACAAGGGATGCCTTCCTTCACCTGGTAGGTAGCTGGGCCTTTGCTAGCAGCAGAAACCACAATCAAAAGGGCTCACAGAAATGGCCTGCAGAACAGGCCTTATTCCTAGAAAGTCAGGGGAAAAGCCCCAGTTGGTATGGCACCATCTTGGATGGGATGACAGAGGGCAGCGGGCAGACCACTCCCGCGACAACACTCCTGCCTCAGCTCCCAGTGGTTCTCCAGACGTTCCCCATGGCTGGCAATCAGGGAGGAAACGCGTTGTGTTTCACATGATCAGACACTGTTCGCCATTGGCACCTGGTGGGCCTGACAGATTGAGGGCATCCAGGTCAAAGTTGAGGCCAGGAGGCTGGAGAGAGATGAAGGGACTCAGATAACTGCTCATATTTCAGGTCAGAGCATCTGAAGGTCCATCCCCAGGAGCCACAATTATCACCTGAGGTGGAATCACTAAAGGCTAAAGAATTCTGGAAACCTGGACTCAGATTAAAATCTAGAAGATATACTCACCATCTCCCCAGCCAGCTCTTTTGGAGGATGGCCCAAATCCTGTAGCTGGAAAATAAGGAAAGAGGGACATCAGACAGAGAAAACCCCAGAAGCAGTTAAAAGCAAGAATCTGAGCTGTGGTCTCTCTGCTTTCTCCTGCTATCTGGCCTCTCTTGTGCTCCCTCTTTCACCTCGGTTTGGCACTGTGGCCTGGGTTCCTTCCCAGATATGTCCTCCACCCAACACCCCGCTTGACAGCACCATCGGACAGACAGCAGGAGGAGGCCTCACCTGCTGCATAAGGTCCAGCACTGTCTCAAAACGAGCCTTCTGCGTGGCCTCACTGTCGGTGGGGGTCTCTGCTTCAAACTGCTCACATATCTTGCCCATGACGCTGTGCTGTTCCTGATATTTTTCAAACTGTTCTGGAGGTAGAGACTCCCGGTGACCCTGCAACCATTCTGGATACTGAAAAAAGAAAAAAATGGGTGGGGAGGAATTAAGTGAATAATGGATAAGGAAGGGCAATAGAATATGAAGAACAATAAAGAACCAAGGAGAGGGGAAGACAAGAGAAGGAAAAGTTAAACAAGCTAGTTCAGCATGAGAAGTAGCAATGCCTCCAACCAGTCACCTGCCTATGCTAGCATTTGTCACTGGAGGATGGTAAACTTTTTCCATGAAGGGACAGACAGCAAATATTTTGGGCTTTAAGAGCCACATATGGTCTCTGTCACGTATTTTCCTTTTTGTTTGTTTTGATTTTATATCCTTTAAAAATGTGAGAGTTGGGTCCTAGCCTGTTTGGCTCAGACTAAAGAGTTCTGGGTTCACACATCCCCAGTAGGAGGTGTGCAGGAGGCAGCTGATCGATGTTCTCTCTCATCGATGTTTCTAACTCTCTATCCCTCTCTCTTCCTCTCTGTAAAAAATCAATAAAGTATATTTAAAAAAAAAAAAAAAAAGAGTTCTGGGTTCAATTCCAGTCAAGGGAACGTACCTCGGTTGTAGACTCGATCCCCAGCCCTGGTTAGGGTGTGTGTGTGAGGCAACCAATCAATGTGTCTCCCTCACAACGATGTTTCTCTGTCTCTCCCTCTCCCTTTCACTCTCTCTAAAAATCAAAATATCAATGGAAAAATATCCTTGAGTGAGGATTAACACACACACACACAAACACACAAAATTAAAAATGACAAAACAAAAAGAAGAAAGCTCGCCCTAGCTTTCTCTTTTGCTTCATTCTAAAAGCAATAAATTTTCTTTTAAGTGTGTTTTTAACCCTGGCTGGTGTGGCTCAGTTGGTTGAGCATCAACCCAGGCACCAAGAGGTGTCTGGTTAGACTCCCAATCAGGGCTCATGCCTGAGTTGCAGGTTTGATTCCTGGTAGAGGGAACAAGGCAACTGACCAATATTTCTCTCTCACATCTATGTTCCTCTCTCTCGTTCTCCCTCCTATCTCTCTCCCTCTCTGAAATTAATAAAAATATTTTGTAAAAAAAGAAGAAAGCCCTTTAAGGGCTGTTAACATTAAAAAAAAAAAAAAAAAGTAAAAGTTGGATGTGGCCACCCAGACCTTAGTTTGCACTATTCATTTCACACTTGATCATATGTTCCTCTATGCAACTGAAAAGCTTCTATTCCTGTATTTTATTTCTTTAATAAAACTATATACTCGTTCATGGCAGCGACCACCATTTACACTGCTCTTAAGTTGTTTTTAGCAAAAAGCCAGTAAATCCTCAGTGAAACACTATTAGAGAACTGAACACAGAGATGAAATAAGGGGTTGCTCAGACAACTAAAGAATATTAAACCATTTTATAGTAAACTAGAGGATTTCCCTTTCTCCCTTAAATATCCTCAGTGTGGTAAAGCTTTATTCTCTTAGAGACACAACTCTCCAACTCTCCCCAATCCAAATAAACAAACATTGGAGAAAGAAACAGATGGGAGTTATATACCCGAGTTTCTCTATCTTTGCAGGCTCTAAGCAGACAAAGTAGCCACAGGAGTTGATACATCGGGGAACAAGGAGGACAAGCAGAAATAGTTCACAAACCTTTTCTGTGATCTCCTTCAGTGATGGGTACAGCACATCCTTGGACAGTAGGTTCTGCATGATACTCTGCATGATGGGGAGGATGTTTCCTTCAGCATCCCCTTCATCCATGCCCAGTCCTTCCATGGCCTTGGTCAGCTCCTCTTCTGACATGCCTGAGTTCTAGAAAGGACAGGAGAGAGGTGAGCAAGTACACTGCCTTCTTGGGATGCTTCCTACCCTTTCAGGTGGGAAAGAACTATTTAAACTTGACTGTAGCAAAACAGTGAGGCAGGGACAGACTGGAGATGATACCCAAGAGTCTGTCTTTGAGACTCTGCTGGTGAAGTGTCTGAGAATGGGCCCCTTGTGGTCCCCTCCCTCCTCCCCCTCACCTGCAGATCAGTAGCATTTTTGGCCAGTCCACTTAGTGTCTCCTTTAGGCAAGAAGTGAATTCTTGTTGGGAAGTTACATCACTACCTAGGAGAGATCAAAAGAGCCATGGTCATTTACAATTTTAACTGTTTGCTTACCTAGACTGACCCGGTTACCAGCTTGGATATGGAGCATTTAGTTGTGAGTCACTAGCACTACCAAATTTTAGGATGCTCTATGGTTATCTTCATAGTCATTTTCACAAATCGACATACTTTGTGCTCCATGATGACACTCAGGATAACACTACCCCTTTGAATCGATCAGTTTCCAATAAAACTTCCCATTACGTTCCACCTATCATACCCCTTTCATCAGCAGGATTCCCTCCCTCCTCCCATCTCCCTCTCCACCCCATGGCAGTGGTATCATGATTGCTACCAACTTCATTAAGAATTCTGGTGGTCTCAAGCAAGGATGATGTAAGAGGTTTGTTCAGGTATTTCCAGTTGTCTGGGCCCCGCCTCACCCACTCTTCCAGCAGCCTCCGAGAGCTTTTGGAACTGCTCCACCAGGTGGGGCTCTTCCTCAGCCAACTCCTTCATTGCCTTCTCGAACTCGGCAGTGGCTTGGGAAGCCAGCTCACTGTCGAATAGTTCCTGGAAAAACTTCTCTTGGGAGGCGAAGAGGGCATCCTGCGGGGGAAGAGTGGCCAAATGCATCTCTTGGCACTACCTTGCACCTGACCTCTGACAAAAGTCACAGGCAGAGGCTCTGGGAAACACAGTGCCTCCCTCCTACCCATTCCTATTGGACATTCTAACCACCTCTCTTAAGGAGGACAGCAAGAAAGGCATCTGGCCTCAGAGGGAAAGGTATGGAGTGGCGTTCCCAAATCAATCATGTAAATGTCCTCTTTTCTCAAAGAATTTCCTTGAGATCCACTCCACCTCAAGCCCCTGTTTCACAAGGACCGAGGCCTGCAAGGGCACTCAGCAATGTGAGGTCAAGGCACCCTCCTCCCACTCCCCTCTGGCCCACAGGGACCTGCCCCACCGCTGCTCAGAGCTGCATACTATCTCCCCTCCATCCCCCCCCACCCCGCCCCCAAACAGGTGGAATTTATACTTTGGCAGTGTCTCCTGGCGATCTCTTCTGGGGCCCTGAAGCATCAGGGGCCGTGGTGGTAGGAGGGGGTGCTGGGGAGGGTCTGGCCTTATCGAAATCATCAAGAGCACCTTCAGAGACAAGAGACATCGTATGTGTGTTGGGGATGGGTGAGAATAGAAGGCTGGGCAAAGCACTGAGAGAACAATCTTTCAAACTGCCAACTTCCCTACATGCTTCTTTTTTTTTGAGTCTCCTTATTCTGGCCCACTCCTAAGCAAGCCTTCCCATTACCTAATTTATTGCAATCAGAGGGGAAAACACCTTCAAGTAGAACAGGCATCTCTCTCAGAACCAGGAGGAGTGTTACACAGAAATTCTGCAGAAACACCTCTACCTACAGCGCCTTCCCTGCAAACCCTACACATACATCCAACAGGAGCAGAGAACACAATACCCTCAACCCCCTGCACTCGCGCCGGAGCCCGAAAGGAACTCACCTTTGGCAGGAAAGCAGAAGCCACCCTCCGTCCCACCCACCTTCCCATGGGTCCTGGTACCAGTACACACTGGACTCCAGGGAAGGGCATCCAACCCTCTCACCCTCCAACCTGGCCCTCCCTGGGCAGAGCTCCGGGACTCCTCTGGCCCCGTCTCTGCAGATGGCCGTGCGCCAAGTCACACAGAGTCACTTGGCACTCGCCACCGTTTGTTCATCCTTCCGCCTGTGGCTGACTGGGCAAGACAAGAACATTCACCTCTGCCCTGAAAAGCCTGTGCCCTCGCTGCCAGTCTGCGTGCCAGGCCTAGGGGGAGAGCCCCGGCCCACTCCGGGCAACACCGAGAGCATGGAGGACACGGCTAAGGAAGGATTGGGGGGTGACCTGTCTCTCCCTGAGACCTTCTCATTCTCGGTTTTTCAAAATAATAGGAAAGGAGTCGGCTCCAGCTCTGCCAGGAGGAGGGAACGGGACGGGGCCCGGGGAGAGAGGTGGAAGCCTGGAGGAGGGGCGGGCCCGCCGGGGGTGGCGAGTTGGGGAGCCACCGTGAGCGTCTGCGAGCAGCCCCCGGGGATCCGGAGAACCGACCAATGCCAAGTAGGGGCTTGGGGTCCAGAAACGCCGTCCGCCGGACTACCGTGTCCGCTCCGGCAGAGAGACCAACGGCCAGGGTCCTCGGGGGACTCCCAGCTCCCGCTGCCGGGGAAGGGGGCCAGGAGATGCTCCTCCGAGTCGTAGTCAGACCCGCCGCCCACCCCCGTCCGATCCCGGGACGGCCTCCCCGCTCCGCCCCAGCAGCTCGGGTTCACTCAACGCCCCGAGCGGGTCCTCACGCCGCCGCCGCGCGTCTCTCCGTTGCGGGCTTACTTTCCAGAAGCTCCTCCAACTCCCGGTCCGCGTCGGCCGCGACCCCACAGTCCCCCTCCGCTGCGGCCATCTTGCTGCCTCCGCTGCACCGTAGGGGGCGGGACTCCGCACCTCGCGCCCCACCCCTTCCGCCCCTGCGACCAATGGAAAGGCGGGCCAGGGCAGAGTCGTCATTTTTAAAGGGACAGCAAGGTGTGGGGGTTTGTTTTTCTTTTCTTCAAACCATTTAACTAACAGAGGGGAACTTACTGGGAACTTTTGCTAGGTTTCTTACTGGCCTGCACACTTTCTGACATACTATGTATTTTACCTATTTATATTGTTTATATTGTCCTCCCTTCCCCTTCGCCTAGGCCTCTCCCTCTGGAATTTCAGCGCCGTGATGGCAAGGATTTTACTCCTGTCTTCACTGCTGTATTCTCACTCCTAGGCGGGGGCCTAACACTTAGTTGTCTCTCCCAGACCCTTATGGGGACCATCTTTATGCGGAATCAAATGGGCATCTCTTGTTTCCTAGTCTCCATGAGAACTGTTACACTAAGGCCTGGGACTTAGTTAGAACTCAATGTTGGTTGAATCAATTCAGGCAGGAAAAATTGCTGGGGTCCAGCCCCAGCAGGTCCAGGGGTTCCCAAAGGTGTGGACGGAGTCGGCGAAGAAGGAATGACATGGAGACAGTGTTCAGATGATCAGCATTGCCAGGTTCTCCTTTTATTGTCCTGTTACATCTGTATTTATACCATTTGATCCTATAAGCATGCCTCTATAATCACATCATGGTATGTTTTGGGTAACCTTCTACAGTTCCTTGTTTCATTTCCAGTTTCTTACCTGACCTTTGCCAAAAATCCTGTCTCTATCTAGTTCTGTTGATTTTAATCTTGTCTAGGTTAATCTCTGCGTTTCATTATATGCGCTATTCCAAGGTCACTGCTCTACTGATAAGCTACAAGGAAGTCACTGAAGGAGATTATCCTACCCAGTAAAGGTTATGTCCTCCCAGCCCCGCTGCTTGCCTTCCCTGGGACTGCCCTGTGTCAAAGGGTCTCAAGGGGTATAGGCTTTGGTGCTTTCCCTGGTGGGCAGACCCCTGGGGATGTGGGCCCAACAAGTCCCAAATTTATTGCCAACAGTCTTAGTCCAAGTTCTTCATAAGTAGTACATGGTATTTCTGTAACACTAGGGGGTCTTACTAATTCATTCCCTTCCTTAGTCCTGTTAATTCCTAACTCCAGGGAAACATCCTCACCTGGGGAAACCTTTCTCGGGGAGGTGGTCCTGGTTAAAACACATAGCGCTAAGAGGGGGGGGAGCAAATATATGCCATATACACCAGGTCCCTTGAAACATAAGCTGTGCAGATGTTTCTTCCCTGCAGCGACTGTGTCAAGCAGCAAGGGTGGACCGGCTTCCGGCAAATTCCCCCCTATTTATTTTTTAAATGACAGCGCGTGTAAATCAGCGGCCACCTCTCAGATTGGGTTGTTTAAGACTCGGAAGAAGACTTGTTTGTGACTTTGCCAACAGGTCATTCCCAGGCTTAACCCTATATCGGCTCCCCACAAAAAATATTACCCTGGGACCTTGAACTGAGCAAGAGAGCAATTTGGATGTAGTAGTAATAGTCCTGCCTTCCCTGACCATCTCCTCTTCTCTGTGCAGAACCCAACAGCCAATGGAGGGAATTTGGGGAGGCTCACATAGAGACACTCTAGACAACCCCTCCTCCTCTGGATTGTTCTATTCAGATCCATCAGAACACACAAACTGCCCAAGATACAAATCTATTTTAGCACTTAGAGGGCACCTACTGTTGAAGACCCTGAACAGTGGAAGAGATAAATCAGGACCAGCTGTAAAGGAGCTGACTGGGGATTAGGCTGGAGGTAGTACTAGACATACACACAGTAAGAACAGCACAAGGTCTTAAAAGAGGTCAGGATAAAGTGCTATAAAGTTTAAAAAAGGAAAAATCACATTAAAATGAAAAGTCATTTCATGGTTTTTATCGGTAGCTTCTCAAACACACCTGAATACTATTTCAAAGCACCATATCTGGTACATCCTTTTTCCTTTACAAACAGGGCACAGACTTATAAAATCACACCTGTGCACAACTTACTGTATTCTTCCAAGCACAGGTGGGAGACATTCTGAACTAAATTCTAGTCCTAACTCTCACTAAATCACTTTAAAACCCTTGCCACTCCAGACCTCAGACTACAAATATGTAATAATAAAGTTGGGACAGTTAGGTTCCTTTTCAATTATAATCTTCTCTAATCAAGTCCTCTGATTAACCTAGTTCTCCCCAACACCTGAAACAATTACAGACATTCTCATTCAATTCCAAACTGCTTACGTGTGTATCTCTAATATGACTATAGTCATATCAAGCACATGATTAAAAAATAATAGGCATTTCTATTGGCTTTTCATTAATGTGGTAATATAAGCATGTTAATAAGAAAAATACTAGATGGTAATTGAGAAAATTATGATGGAGTTGAAAACAAGCATGGATCTTCTTTTGCATTCTTAAACTTGCTTCTGCTTTTCTGTTTTACTACTGATACTACTACACCTCATCTCAGTATTTACTCACCTCTTTCCTTTCTAATGTATAGTGAACAATGTTGTGAAACAGTAATTCACAGCATTTTTTTTTTATAGCACTCTAGATTAAGGACATAATAGCTCTCCACTGTTTTTGACCTATTTCAAATTCTTGCCTGGTATTCACAATTTCACATTTATCCATTTTGTTTCCCCAATTCCATAAGCTTCAAGAAACATGGAAGGGGGCGTGCAGGAGGCAGCTGATCAATGATTCTCTCTCATCAATGATGTTTCTCTCTCTCCCTCTCCCTTCCTCTCTAAAATCAATAAAAAATTTAAAAAAAAGAAACATGGATAACTCACTTTTTTTTATATCCCTGAGTTCAGAATAACGCATATGTTTATATGCAGTTAATTTTGTACTTTAATTTTTAAAGTTACAGAAGTCTTTTTGGCCAAAATTTATTACCAACTTGCATATATTTACAGAAAGCATGGTTATAACTTGAGAAAGTGTTACCAAAATAAGGCAGGCTTAGTTTGGGGATACTTTAAGAAAGCAACTCTTAAAGCTAAAAAAATGTAGAGGACTATGCTCTTTTTTAAAAGACAATTTTTAAAAGATATGCTTTTATTGATTTTAGAGAGGTAGGGAGAGGGAGAGATAGAAATATTGATGAGAGAGAAACATTGATCGGTTGCCTCCTGCATGCCCCCCAGTGGGGATCGAGCCCCCAACCTGGGCATGTGCCCTGATCAGGAATTGAACCCTTGACCTCCTGGTGAACAGAATGACACTCAATTCACTGAGCCACACCAGCTGGGCAAAAAGATATATATTTTAATCAAAGACACAGCATGTTATTCTACTCAGTCTTAGCACATAGCAAGCAAAATACTATATCAGCACTGTAATCATCCTAATTTAATGTATTTATCTCTAATTAATCTTACATATGTATATTACATGTAAAACATCTCGAACAGTGAGACATGATAGATGCTCAATAAATAATGGCTGTAATTAACAACAGACGAAAGGTTGCAGTCAATAATGGAACAGGGGAGCTATTTGCTTTCCACCATTCTCACAGCAGTTTAATAATCCTATGAAAAATGTGTGCTTAGTTTTAAACAATGGGTATTTACTATTTTTGTATTCAACCTAGTTCTCTTTCCTTATATAAAGTAATTATATAAGGAATGCTATGCTTTGGTGGGCAGCTGCATGGAGTAAGTAGGAACATGAAAGTGTGCAGGAAACAAATGGCAAGCCACAAAACTCTCGCAGTAATTTACTTTATTTAGTGTGAGAAACAACAAATAAGAACAATGATTATAAAAGACAAATCAATAAAAAGTGACGTGCATTTTTGGAAAACCAGACAGTTTCTTTTCAGACTTTAAATTTCTGGGCACAGAGAGGGTACCTGCCTGGATGGCTTAGTTTGCTGTGACGGAGTAGAAGATGCATTCTTATTTATTACATCTCACTCCTTTCTAACAAGAAGGATACAAAGGTAGTAGGGAAGAAAAGGATTAACACTGAAGGAATTTACTAAACAAATGTTCACCTTTGCATTTTCATTTGTTTCTTGAAAGAGCTAAGCTGGGAAAGCAAGTCCAACTGTGACCACAAGTGTACGATTGAGAGAATGAAAGGTCCTCAGAGGCAAAACATAAAAAAGTCAAGCTTAGACATTTATTAGCCCTAGAACAAGAGAAAAGAACACTTGATTTTAGGGCAGGGAAAGGTAAATGACAATTTGAAAGGTAGTTAAGGAACAGGTTAGGACATAAAGACTAATTCTTGGGGTTGGGTGGAGGCTGAGGGGAATATGGTGACTGACCCTATACACACAAAGGGGGCCTTAGCGAAACTGCAGAGGACTGATCCTTAAACCAATCACATCTTTGCCAACCTCTGTCACCTGTGGAAGAGGAAACAGGAAAAAGTTAGGAGTTTGAGAGGTTGAGACGCCTGGAAAGCTTACTCCCTCCACTCTTCCACGAGCACAGTCAAGTGCTTCGTTATTGTTAGTGTAGTGACTGACAAAGAGCAGTGAGAGAAGCTCTAGCTGTATCCAGTATACTGCCTCAAGGCGGTAGGGGCAAATGCAAGAGAAAAAGGACCAATGTGCTTCTTCTCTTTCCCCTTCCCTCAATATCCTGGATGCATTTCTTGAGGACAGTACTTACTGTAGTGACTCTGCAGATTTGACCCTTGAATTCAGGGGAATAGCAGGCCCCACTGAGTGGACATTTTTCCACTGGTTTTCCACGGTAGATGGGCCGGTAAGATGCAGCACAGATGTCAAAAGGGTTGTGCATGTCATAATTAAGTTGGTAGGCATCTGTGGGGTTCTTCTCGCAGGCTGCCAGGATTTTCCGGGTCTAAGAGAGGGAAGGAATATTTTATTTAAGAGTACTAAAAGCTTCACACAACTCAAATGATCTCATCTTTATGGTTTAGTAGTTTCTTTGGGGCAGGATGAAACTGCACTGAATTCAGAATACAACCTCTGTGCAGGACATGTATGAAGGGGTAATAATGACCACTCCTGTGGTA